TGTTATTGTTTGTTTGTGTTTGTTGTAAAAAATAAAAAATTTATTAAAAAAAAAAAAAGAAGTGGTATGATACCACAGTACAGAAAAAAATTCACAAGGAAATTATGGATTGCAGCTGCATGCTGTTTAGCGATAAAGGGGTTGCCTGATATAGAACTCCGATGATATATTTATTTATCGTGCTTCAGTTTAAGTTAATATTGTGAAGATGCTTCTGATTCTGTGTCCTACAAATAGGATTTTACTTCATTTTCAGAAGCAGAAGGAGCAGAGAAGGGATATCAGCCATTCAGGAGTGAGTCTTGTTTCCTTTCTGATCAAGCACCAAAGAAGGAGAATTGAAGCCCTGTAGGGCAACACTTCACTTGCCCTTTCTGAACTTTCAGCTCTTTTCTGAAACAGCCCAGATATTAAGAAAAGGCATAACTCTGGAGGTTGGGAAGTGTGTATGCATATACTGTAAATAGAGAGAGAAATATCAATCAATATGAAGCAAATAAAAACCTAAATAGAAATACCTGTAATTGCTTAAAGTTGTTTGATAATACCAGTAATTAAATGGATTGCTTTAAATGACAAAAATAACTTTATGTTTAAATCTGCTGTTTCATATTGATGCATGGTTCTCCTCCCACTTATAAGACTCTACACTAAACTGGAACAAGCTGTGCTCCAACTCACAGTGAACGTGAAAGCTGGCCTGAAGTGGGACAATTCAGGGTGATTTTTAATACAACCTACATGAGACATAGGTATCTAACTCACCTTGCCCCTGATTCAAAATTTTCTGTGCATCTGTACCTCTGACATGTCATTTGGCATCATGTACTGGAAAGAGCAAGATACTGAGCCATGTGCTAAGCTGGCTAGCTGGCTGGCTGGCTGGCTGGCTGGCTGGCTGGCTGGATGGATGGATGGATGGATGGAGGCATTTGTTCAGGTAACACTTTGGTATGGGAGTACATGGAGAGTGGCATGACTGAGGGTTGAGTGAAAGATGGTTTCATATACACTGGCAATGGAATAGATTGCCATCATCGTTACCAGGATCTATTTTTATGTGGCTATGGGCAGAAAGAACCGCGGTCCCTCTTGTGAACAACTGTTGGTTTTTTGTTTGTTTTTAATTCTTTCATTCTAATTTTCCCATGTGTTACTCCAGCATTATTCAGTTAATTGGCTTATACAGATTTCCATTTCTTTCATCTCCCATCCCTTCCTTTCATATCATATTTCAGTCTTCTATTTTGCTTCCTCACAATAATTAGTTAGCTATAGTAGTTGTTTTAGTCAAATCTTTCTCCCTCATTCGTTTCTCCTACAAATTCTTCATTACTTATCATTAACTTTATATTTTTTTAATATTGTGTAAATAATTGTAAATATTATATTGTTGCGTGAGTGTTATTCTTATATTTTGTCCTTCCAAGCAGTGCTCCTCTTTCCTCTGATTCCATTTTGATCACTGGTAGGAGTGTGTGTTAGTATATTAGGTAGAATCATCAGAGAGATGGAGCCTGGATGGAAACATGGCAAAGGATTATTGAGGATGTTGTAGAACAAAGATTCTATGCCCAATGAATAGAGGAGGCCAACAGGGAAAGAGAAAAGTTTATTCAGCAGGAATAAATAGAGGAGGCATGGAAAAGAGAAAAGTTTATCCAGCAATGACCAATGGATCTGTCTTGCAAGAGCAGATACCAACCTTGGGATGGTTATAATAATTATAAACATGCATACCACAATGTGTCCATTTCTCATTGGTTTAATGTATGCCCTTGCCTTATTTAATTGAACTTTACATTTTTTGCACATACAAAGACACTCTGTTCCCCATATGGTCTTTTAAAATGCTGACCGGTCACTTCCCTATCTTAGAATGTCCTGACATATGTACGCATTTATTACCCTTGTTTCCTTGTATGTGATCTGTCCATTTTAGAGATAATGGAGAAGGGCCTTTTATTTGTCTTTAAACTAGCCCCTCTTCTGCTTCCTTAGAAGTGGAACTTAAAATATCAGCATAGAAAACATCATCATCCTGGCCTGTTTGATAAGACGTAGTCATGATGGTCATGGCCATATTTGCAGCAGATGCTGGTGTAATGGAACCTTTCACCAAGGCATCTGTTAGAGAGATAACTAAGGTAATAGTTCAGTAAAACAAATAAAACATAAAGACAAATTACTACAACAAATACAACAAGAATTCCTTCCCTTGAATAATTTTTCTTTCCCTCACTCTTAGATCATGGATCCAAGAGGTTATTTACATTTATTTAAATGATTTATATCTCAACATAGTGACTCTGGGTGGCTAACAATGCATAAAACATAAC